TAACCTTTTAAATGCGAGTTTTCCCAAAACATTACATATTGAACTGACGCTATTTTGCTAACATATATAATCATGAAACCCATAATCCTCCCATAAAAATCATTATTAATCCATTCATAATAACCATTCTAAAAAAATTTGCTGTGATTTTTATTTGTTCATTTCAACCAGTTTTGGGCATATTTTTTCAATTATGAAGGTTTTAATAACAAACAAAAAAAAAAAACCTCCCAACCCATATTTTCTACAAGTACAAATAACGCAAAATACAGCGAGAAACACTATTGATTATAAAATGACATGAATTGTCCAGCCATTTAAAACTGCATATTTTCATCATTAGCTTTAAACTGTAAACAGCCAATTAGCGAATTGACTAATTAATTGTTTTAATTTTCTGAAGAAATTATTTGGATACACAAGTCAGTTTGATGCCATTTTAACCTAATCTGACTACTGTAATATGAATAATAAACTGAAATGATAATATAATATTAATACATCAGTTACTCATTAGCCACATTCTGCCATCAAAATATTACTTTTAAAATGTACACGGCATTTTTATGTTTAACTTTCTGAACAAATTATTTGGATAACAGAATATTGCAGTTTAGCTCATATTCCCAACATAGAAAGATGCGTTCAAGCCAAGTCAACTGCTAAGGATAATACTAATGTTCCTAGGCCGCTTCAAACAGCTATAACTACGTATTTTGTTACTAAATACCTAATAAAAATATGTGACAGCACACTTGGATTATTTTGTTCTTTTGAACAGAACAGGTTTTCTTAAACTCTTAATTTCGGTACGGTGAGAGGAAGGTTTACAACTGAATTTCTTTTATCATTTATCTCGTTTAGATATATTTGGTAAAAAATGAATGACCTTTGTTCTGACTTGATGGTTATGCTGATTGTGTATGGGGAAAGTGATGTGAGAAGTAGAATGCAATTTTCGATTCAACTGTTGTACCTTGCTCTGGTCAAAGGTCACTGTTACAGGTGATGGAGAGAGTAGTTTATGCAAATACCTTTCTATTGGCTGTTGTGATCAGCAACTCATCTGTTTTTTTGTCACATGTACTCATTTATTTATTTTTTTGGCGGTTTTCAATCAGTTCTTCGAAATTTTTTTCTCTACTTCACCTTTCGCTTGTTTTCTACTTGACTTTTATCTTTCTCTTCAATATTGTTCTAATTCAAACACTCCAAAAAGTTTCTGATTTTGTAGCTGCATATAATCACAACTTTATGATTAATATATTTCCAATTTTGTCACAGTTGTTTTTCTTTATGATCCAAATTTCACAGTGTTTGTTGAAATTCTATTTCGCTTTAACTCAGTTAATTAACTTGAAATAAAATAAAAATAACTTAACTTGCACATTAATATAAAAGCTAATTTCACTGTTTGATTTTCTCTTTTTCGAACATTGAAATTGGTTTAAAATTACTGCTTAAAACTTTTCGTCCATAATTATTCGAAAAGCAAATTTGAAGCACCAGTCATTGTTATTACGATCTAAATGACAAGTGCACATTTAATCTTGCAAGGAATCTCATCCTTTAATAGGATATCAAAGCAATACCTTGCAATTTGAAGCTTCTTTCTGTACTGAACCTTCCATTTCATTATTTGCTTGCTAATAATCTAAATTTTTATTATTTTACAAAGTTATATTATTGATGCTTATAACAATGATAACAGCGATCAATGAAATGATTAATGTATTTTTGAAGGACAAAATTCAGTTGCCAAAAGAGTATCTTGATAATTACCACAAATAATTTACGAATCTGGTATTATCGTCCTAGATTATTCTTTCACTCATTATGCGATAGAAACTCATTGTTCGGTTAAAAAAAAAGAAAAAGCGAAATTTTTTAAAATAAAAAGGCTTTTAGGAAATATTTTGCTTCCTTTTCAATCGTTTATTTCTCTTCCAGTTTCTTCTTTTGTTGAGGTGATTAATGTGAGGATAAATTATTTCCCACCACTGAAAATTAATTTTACTAATTTGACTTTTGATAGCGCAAATTTATATTTAGTTGGCATTGCTACTTATCTGGTGAAAAAAATGATTTTAAAAATTAATGATCCGTGAAATAAACGTCAATAACTATCAGAAGTGTCCCGCGTATATTGTCATTCTTCTTGACTTACAAACAGATCATTTCAATGAACTCTCACTATTGCGTTCCTTTTCGTATTCCATGAACGAAACTTGGCTCACTATTAATCGCAATGTGATTTGAGTAACATTTTGCTGTCAAAGTATCCTGTTCACCTGGAAAAGTAGTCTATTGTATCATCTCCAGTACTAATTAAATCAAAATATGAACTTTGTTTCATGGAGTACATGTACTTGACTGTGTCACACTTGTTTCACGGCCATATTTGCAGGTGAATTAGCTACTTTTTCTGTTGCAGCCTCCAATGGCATTGATTGCGCTGAAAATGTCCTCAGAATATTTCCTACATCTATTATTTTCTATATATTCTATACTACAGAATACTTTTTTCCTTTCCTTTTTACTCACCTTTTTACTTACCTGGCAATAGGCATTTATTGAAGAAACATATGGCATTGACATGTGACATCTATATCCCATTCTACTTTTCCATCTTTCAAAGCCTTTTCCTTCTTAAACGACTTTTAACCGCGCATTTCAATTTTTGACCTATTGAAATATTTCTCGAAGAATACTCAAACACATTTTATTCAGCATTTCATTCTTAGCCATGCAAACCGAAAATCATTTTGAACTAAATTTCCTGCACTTACTGTGCTTTTCTTCACTTGCTATGCTTTCTTCATCCTGACAGTCCAATCATTTTCATGTTTGTATTACATTTTCTGTAATTTAAATTAATTATTAGATGTTATCCTGAAAAATTTTTCTTGAAATGGTCCTATTTATCAAAAGTATAAGGTTTTATTTGATAATCAATCGTTTCAACTTATCGCTTTGAAATTGCTCTTATTTCATTTCGATGCATTAACCACCATCTCATAATTTCATTTTCTGCTGAAAGCTGATAATTACTGCGTGTCACATCTTGTAAGCTATTCAGAAAATTGAAATTATCAGATTTGGTGAAATTCGAAGCAATTTGAATGTGATAAGTCAAATTTAAATCAAAGTTTGAAGTATTGCAGATGTGAGCATTGCAATTAACAATTTTCTAGACACTAATATCAAAACGACCAATTTTTGAGATGGCTTTTGACTTTTTTAAATAAATATTGCTTTGACAAACATTAATATCGCTTTACTACATTGATAACAATTACATTCATTTCCATCACCGCATCTATTAAATAAACATTTGTTGAACTATTCAAAAAAAAGTATTTATCTTTAGCAAAAGCCATTGTTAGCATTACCTTCCCCTGAAAATTTCCACTCTTTTTAATCATGCATCTTTCGTACTATGCTGTTTCATAGAAAAGATACAATGCCGCTCTATGCAGAAGATACAATGCCGCTCCATGGAGAGGATACAATGCCGCTCCATGGAGAGGATACAATGCCGCTCCATAAAAAAGACCTACGTCATCGCATGCTTCATGTCGTAATGCAATGAAGCAGTTGCATCGACACTTTTTTCATTCTGAATAAATTGTCTTTTTTATTAGAACACATTTTTAATGTTATGAACAATTTTATATGTAACACTTACATAAACGCCTTCAAAAATTTGTTCTTTATGCTTTCAACATATTTAAGAGTTTTGCAAATAGATATCTAAACTTACTGAATGCGTATAAAGCATTTAACTATATATAAAATCTAAAAATGTGCTATTTTCCTCTTAGTACTTCCAAAAACTAATTTCAAGTGTTATTTCAATGAATTTCATTAAGTTTCAGAGGGCTGTTATAATGTGTGATATAAAAAAAAAGTTGGCATACACTTACAAAGGAACGAACTGTCATCCAAATAAATCTTTTCTATCTTTACAAAATTATCAACAATAAAAGTTGTTATCATTTACAAGCTTATCCACTGTCGTAACTCTGCCACAGAAAATGACTTATAGTTTGCAAAGCAGTCAATGTCAAAACAGCAGTGATCTGTCGTTCACTTTTCTTTTATTACGTTATAATGAAACAATAAGAATTTTCCGATGTTTTATGCTTTTAATTTGAAATATTGAATTATAAAATTTATGGGCTAGAAATTAAGCTAGTAATTATTGCACAAGAAGCTACAAATATTTAAAGCTACTTTCATCTCGTTGACAAGCCCTTTAAAGCTAGCACTCCAATTTATTCTACTAAATTTTTTCTATTCGTATCACGTACCTGAAATTATTTTGTGGTACTGTTTATCATCCTTCTTTTTTACGTGTAGATTCTGTTGTATACATTTATTTCATTTCATACATAAGCAAAAAGAGATGCTTAACTGATTGACTCATTCAATTGATAGAACAAACAGAAGACAGTGCGGAAGAGAATGGGATATTAAAATAGATCAAAATTTTAGCTAATTGGAACACGGAACTTTCTTTTTCCTCTAGAAGTTGACCCTCTCTTTTACACCATTCATTTTATCCTTAAAACAATTAGTGTAAAAATTTTAATTCTTCCTACACTCTACATTTTTCTTCAGAACTTTTCAATTAGTTGTCAAAGACGAAATAGTCTGAGGAAACTTGAAATGAAACGAATAATAAAAGAAAACATGTTTTATTATATTTCTTTAGTCATAAATGTTTTCCTTTAAACGAATTTGTACAAGATTAAAAATTCACCTTGCTTTGGGATTAAACATTTGCAATTTTAATCCTTCTCTGAAAACTTTGTTTTTGAGAATCAATTTTATGAATACAAAAGTATTTTTTCATCATTTAACTTTTCAACAATTAGCCAAAGTGCTTAGCAAATGCATTACTTCAAATTTTCGAATTTCGTTCTATATCACATATGTAGGCATATGTGGATCATGTATCGCTGGCATTTTTAAACATTTCAATCAAAATTTTAGGAATGTCAACACCTACGGATCCAGTAGTATCAAATAATGAAAAGTTACCCCATGAGGACAATGATAATAACGGGATATTTGGCAGAATTATAAATAAATCAAAAGTTTATCCCCTGGAAGAATATACTCATTCAGGTCTGATTTTTTGAATTCAACATTGAACTCATTTGTTTGGCATGTAAAATATTATTTCGACTGCTTGTTTCTTACTAAATTTAAGCAGTCCTTTGCTCATCATTTTGAACTTTTTTTTCTTATCTCCATTATTTCTTAGTGAATTTTAAAATTGGTCTTTTCTAATTTAGAAATCCGCAACGATCATGTCAACGAAAAAGTTTTGCCAGTAGAACTTGAGGAATCAAGAAAAAATGTTACCGTTCCGAAATCTCTATTCAGGCGGAATTTTAAAGAAACTCTTATTCTAAGCGCAGCTATCTCAACTATAGCATTGTCCTTTGTTGGTGTTACTGTATATTATATTCTATCTTACTCTCGTCCCGAACTCGTCTATACTAATATGGTTGGTTCATAATGATCGTTCAATCATTAAAAAAAATCATTAGATATTCAAAAGAAAAAAATGAAAATTTAAACGATGGAATAAATTCTGCACATTAAACGTTGCATACTTAGTTGTTTGGCCTGCCTTAGCAAGCTATTCTAATCCTTTTGAATTATTTTACCAGTATTGCTAAGGTTTTTAATATTTCCGAAAAGTTCAAATATTTTTGATCAAATTTAAAGTTAACTTTCAATAACATCTCATACAGATAATTGTGTACCCGAAAAAATTGGGCCTAAAATCTGCGTTCAATTTAATGTCGATTATAGATTTGGCGACATGGCGATCGAGCACCCGCCCATTATTTTCCAAACTTTACTGAAAAATATTTGATAGCCTTTCCACGAGGCATGGGAAATTTAACAAAAGTGAGCTTTGTAATCCAATTTTCTACAAATCGTTTTGATTATGATTAATACTTTTTTAATTCACTTTTATTTGTTTTCTTAATTGCTACTCCAAAATACCAGAAAAGTGCAGATTTGAATTTTTTGTTTACAGATAGGTGCCGAGCAAGCGGAACAGTTAGGCTTATTGTTACAACGTCGTTACATTCACCCTGGAAACATCACATCGAAGCAGGTGCGGTCCTCTTCCCTTTTCTCTTCCCGTTCTGCAAGCACATTTTGCACTGATCCAATCAGTTCAAACAACCCAATCAGTAATCTGTTAACGACTCGTTTCTAATCACAAATTTAAACATCTAATCAGATCAACGATCAGTAAGAAATTATTATCGGAATAATTTCAACCAACTAAAACATCATTACAGATTTATATTCGTAGTACAGATGTTCATCGTACTATCGAAACTGCACAACATGTTCTAAAAGGAATGTCTTTTCCTGACACAAGAATTAACGTCGAATTAACGACCAATGTCGATACGGTACTTTTTGTGGAAATTTTTTCCATGTTATCATTTCTATATCAATATTATCATTGCAGGCCGGTAATCCATTTTTTGATTGTCCTATTGCAACTCAATTTGTTTTGGATCAAGAGGAAAAATATTTTCTACGAGAAAATTTCAGCGTGAGTTCATGAACAAATTTTAAATTTGAACGATTTGTTTTCAAAAAACTGACTCAATGTTGTTAATTGTCTGAAATATTGTGATTGTATCAAAAATATATTCTCGATTTTTGATAAACCTAGATACTATAAGTTAATAAATTTTAGGAGATATACGAATTAATGCAACGAGAGCTGAATTATAATAGTTATTCATATTATTTATTCGATACTCTCAATTGTCTGGTAATAAATTTGCTAAATTTATAAATCTGTATATGATCTAATTCAATTAGGAAAATTGATTTTGTGGTTTCTACTTTACAGTTCAAAATCTATTGATTTGTCGATACTTCAGCTCGTGTTCCATATTTGATTAGATAATAGGCATTCAGCTCTATAAACTTTATTAAAATGTAGAAGTGGTAAGACAATATTACATTTTAATGCGTTTAGTATTTATTTTCTTATGCAACCAAACATAAATTCACCTCTAAAAAAGTGATTAACCAATGTACTTATTTTTGTTATTTTGAAGGCTTATTTGATTTGTAACAGAAATTCTTAATTATTATTTATCAAAAAAAAAAACTAAAAAACTAAAATTTTCAGAAAGCACATGATTTAGCGTTACCAGACTGGCTGAGGAGTGATGAATTGTATGAAAAATTGAAATTTTTGAGTTGGCATGGTGTAGAAGCACAGTTTGGTATAGGACCATACGATAATAAATTGCAGAGAAAGATTCGAGGTATGCATTTCAATTTGAAATTAAGTTTTCCTAACTGAAACTAAAACTGTTTTATGAATAGTTTGTAACTCTGTGAAGGAAATTTATTAATAACATGAAAGGTTACTGTTATTTTTCACTCTTAAATAATACCCTTAAGCTTAGATTGTTTTTCTTATGTACTAAATTTCCATTTGTTTTTCATCTTAAGTTGATCTTAACTCATGTATTATTTGAAATTAACAGAAAGTTTCGGTTTCCAAAATTCTATTTTAAAGGTGGAAGTTCTCTTCGTGGTATTGTTAGCCGAATCGCGTGTAAAGTAAATTATTCAGAATGGTCATCAGTTGATTCTTGTGAAGAAAAGTTTTACGGACTATCAGCAGCAAGTTTTTTTGATGATTTTTTCATTGCATGGATTATGCAGTAAACTTAGAAGGATAGGAAAGAACTAAAATTATATGATGAAAAATTTCTTCTTAACATTTTGAAGAAAATCATTAGGAGCTTTTAAAGTGTTTTATAACTTTAGTTCTTTAACTTTAAAATTCAAAAACATTTTAAAATTAAACATTATTTTTTCAGCATGACATGACAATTGCTGCACTACTGTCAACATTTAGCGACATACATTCTATTTTGGGCAAATCTCCATTAATTGGTTACGGAGCCAATATTGCATTTGAAATTTGGAGAATTGACAATTTATATAAAATGAAAGTTCGGCTTGTTCTATTATAGCTAGCAAAAAATAATAGATGCTTCAAGTAACTCGAGCGATCAAAGTGGAAAACGTGATACTACGAAGTTTCCATCAATAAACTTTGTCTTGAAAATCAGTATTGTGACAGGAATGAAATAATAGTATTGTGACTTTAGCAATTAATTAAAAAAATTTGACAGCTTAATGATGGAATACTGTTAAGGTCATGTATGCAAATCAGTGGGATGCAAATCCACAAGATATAACTCAATTTGCTCCGGGATGTGAGGATTCGATCAAATTTTGCAATGTTACCAAATTCATTGAGCATTCGAGGGAACTCTTTTTCGATAACGTTCAAGAGGCATGCTTGAAGGGTAGTGAAAACTTGACTTCACGTAGGTTTTTTTAAATAAATATTTGAATTCCTTCGCCTTATCAATCCTGTGTCTTCATTTTTTTATATTTCAATTATTTTGGATAATATTATTGTGCATTCCTATCAAATAATTTTTACAAATTCCAGTTACTTACTTCTTATTTGGTTGAAAGGTATGGCGGGGGGAGGGGAGGGGAGGGGGAGACAGAAAGCAAGAATTTGTAAATTTGTTGTGAAATAAATGACAGCCTCCTGACCTTCCTAGTATATGAATTTGTTGAAATTTGCACAATGAACAAATTTTTTCTCATGTTGCAAAATAATGCCATGAGAAAAAAACTTCAATTTGAAACATGCTAGTTTGATTAACACGCTTCAAAGAAATCTCGACTTTTTAAAAAGCCTACAGTTCATTCTATTAATATTATTGTTTCAGATGTAATCAGAAGATCGACGAATACCGATGAAGTAATTGATCTCATTCAAATGTACTGAGAACAAAGAAAAGAACTTTGTTTAATCTTATTCTTTGTTTCATTCATCTTATTTTTTTCATTTTTGTTTTATTCATTTACTTTTAGTCAGTTAAATCTTACATATAAGAAAATTTCAATTTGCAGGGCAGTTTTTAGTTTTTCTATTCTTTTTGTCATACATGTATTAATTTTTTCTTCCAATTTTGCTCAGAACTTGTTTCTCATCACTTTTATAATTACCTTCCCACTAACAATTATTTGGATAGACATATCCATCCATAATACTCAAATTTTGTTTGAAAAAATGTCCTTTTCACTCCTTAAATAGCAAAAATATTTCTTGCTTCACAAATGCATGGAATAATTTATTATGACTAACTATTCATAAATGAATGCCGAACAATTATGATGCCCGTTAATATAATACTATTTCTGGATTAATTGTGATAGGCTGAAAAAAAAGTAGGTAATAATTCCTAGGTCAACAATTTATTATTAAAGAACGCTAATAATTCTTATAATTATGCCATTTCGGTTAATGCCTGTATAAGTTGTTCGTTGACATAAAAAAAGGTTTGCATACTAAGTAGAGATATTTCAGATTATAAAATAATTCTTCAACCATTCACCACTAATAAACAAAATACAAACAGATATATAAATTAATAAAAATCACTGGATGTATAAATTAAGAATTTTCTTAGCATTATATAAATACAAACATCATTATAAAATCAACAAAGGGAAATCACTACAAAGCAATTAAAAGCAAATGAATGAAAGAAGAGGCTAGAAGTTTTGCTAAAGTATATTCAGGTTCACACACTTATTCCATGACCAATATCATTGATAATTGCATAATTTAATTGCTTAATTGATAATTGCATAATTTAAATTTCATTATTTAAAATGATTTTTTGCTGTTAATTCTTATAGCAGAAAACTATTACTAAAAAAGAAAAGCAAAAATACATAATTAAAATAAATGATTTTCCATAATGTTGTTCCCAAACATCAATTAATAATTCAAATGATGTAAGTTTCACTGGATGTATTGGAATACCCCGAAGATTGGAATCCGGTTACAAAATTAAGAAAGTGGAATCATTCCACTAATAAATAAAAAAGTGCACCTGGTTACTCTAGAAAACATTCCTTTTACATTTACTACATTGAACACGAGTAATCTATTCCTTGTTGTGTTCTTTCTCCCTTCATTCCATTATGTACCGCAGCACTCTATTAAGATACAATTAATTCACGTTCTTCGTGCTGCAAAAGAAACTAAAAAGTCACAAATTCCGGATTTGTAATGAATTTTCAAAAAGTTATAAGAAGCAATTAAGATGGGTATGCAATCGTAGTCATTAAACGAGTGACTGTAACAGCTGCTAAATATACTTTCTGGAGTTGTTCTGTGAGTATTTTATCTAAATACTCTTAGTATTTATTTCAACTGAAATATATAAAGGAGAAATGTGTGCTTTTATCTGAAAGCTTCCATATATATATATATATATATATATATATGGAGCAGTAAACAATCTCATCATAATCACGTCGTCCTCTTTTAGCAATTGTTCCTCTAAATATATTATCATTCAGTGATACTTGACACATTTCGTATACATAAAAGTCAAAGATAAGGAAAACATCAACAATATAAAAGTTTCAGACTAGTTTCTATTGTTCTAAAATAAAATTGAAGGATTGTCCAGAGGTAAATACACCCTAACATCATTACAGAAATCAGCAATATTACTTTTTCATGGGTTTTCTAATAACAACTGATAATAAACTATAACTTAAAAAACAACTGGCAAGTGGGATTTTAGAATGAAAACACAAAAAGAGAAAAAGATGAAGATAAGCAATATGCAATTTTTGTGAGATTTATTTCTTACAATTAACTATACTTTTTTAAAGCTCGATTTCATCCATTATTTAGCCCCAGGAAAAAAACACTGTTAAAGTAGTAGTTAAAAATCAAAAGAATGAGAATCGATTTCAAAAACTAAAAAAAGAAAATGGAGCAACTTGAATTTAAAGCTGATGACGAGTCAAAAATCAGAAACAAAAAAAAAAAAAATAATAAAGAGATTATGAGAATAGATGAAAAGACAAATAGTTTTCCCATACTAAACTTACATGAAATATCGTTTCCAAATTTAAAGTACCAATATCAAAAACTTTCTTCGGTGTTTTCCCATTGGTAATGTATGACTGCGGTATCTTGAACTTCACCTTTCTTTTGCCAGGCTAAAGATTCTCCAAATTAAGAAAATGAAGTACGGATATGAAAGAAAACTTATATTTATAAAAGAAAAACCTGTACTTATTTTTCCAACATCTTGAAACAATCGAAGACTTATATAATCCCAAAGTCTTTTGAAAATCAAATTTGAATTAAGGAGATCAGTGAATCATCATATACCTTCAGCCCATCGTCACAGTCATGATAAACTTTAAAAACAGGATCGATTGGTGTCAGTTCAACAGTATCACCTTGAAGCAAAAAATCACCATTTTGATCCGTGTAACCCTGATCAAGCAAGTCATCTGGATCCGGTCCTAAAATTATATACAATTTCCATGCCAAAATTTAGAATTTAAAAGAAAAACGTAATTTAGAAACTCATCAAATTCATTCCACTTACATATTACGCCAACAAGAAACAATATTTCAAAAGGTACATTAAAATCATGTCGGATACCTAACACTTCAACATATCCCTGAAATGTTCTTTGATGATGGAAACATATCTATTTAAAAACCTAATCGTTGTCTATTTTTATAAGTTATAGAACCAATAATTAACTGACTGATAACCAATCTTTATGACTGTATGACACGGAGATCACATGTGTTACAACATCTCTTTCTCCTGATTGTCTTACGAGAATCTCGAAAACTTAAGCACGTACCGCTATCTTCTTCCCAGAGCTTTATGCGTACATTGGAAGCCGGACTCGAGCCACACATTAGACGACCACGTACTGCAACTGATTGACTCCGGAAACTTACCACACCAGACAACAAAGCCAACAGCACTATTGCCACTCTCATAAAACTTCAAATATCTTTTTCATCACTCATCAAATTCATTCACTTACATATTACGCCGACATAAAACAATATTTCAAAAAGCACATTAAAATAATGTCGGATACCTAACACTTCAACATATTCCTGAAATGTTCTCTGGTGATGGAAACATACCTATTTAAAAACCTAACCGCTGTCTATCTTTATAAGTTATAGAATCAATAATTAACTGACTGATAACCAATCTTTATGATTGGATGACACGGAGAATACTTGGTGTTTTTCTCAGAGACGCTAACAAGCAAAGCGATAACTAGCTGTTTGTGAGTTGACAGATATGAGAAGAGGCAATGACGCATGGAAGTGAGTCAATATCACACAAGATTCAAGCAAAATATTCTATCTGTAATACTGCCAAATCAGTTACTTCGGCTTTTTGTAAAACCTCGTATCACTGTACATTACATACAAGTTAACAACCTGGAGCACTAACCTGTCAATAAATCATTACTATCTTACATATGACATAAATATTTCAGGTTAAATATCTCGAAGTTTACACAGAATTCCATATCACATCGATCTGTTCCGAATTCGTGGTTGTATTTGTATTCTACCAGCCGGCTATAAAGTCGCTGAATTAAGGTAAGATTAAATTGCATTCAAATTTAATACTACCATTACTATACATTACAGTTCGAAAAGAAGAAACCGAAGGCAAGGTCGACTGAGACGAAAGATGAAGAAAAAGAAAAAAAGGAAAAAGGGAGAAAGAAAGCGCTACTTTTCTTCTTCATTACACACTAATGCAAAGAAGCCATTAATC